CCGTGAATATTTAAGGCTTTGATGTTTGGTTGTCTAATGCAGTTACCTAAGCAGCTTGCCATAGCGGCCTCCCAGAGAGTCTCCCTGCACGCTTCTCCCTATTTTCTGCAATGTGTCTGGATTGCATAAATAAAGTATCCTTTTGAAGCCTCTCTTCACTGCCTCTCTGGGAATGTGTTTTCTGCAGATAATGACTCCTCTCACCTCGCCCAAAGAATGCAGCACAAATCTTTTTTTGTAATTGTTACTCGCCTAAGACTTGAGTACCTGCACATGCTGTGATATGAATTCAATCATCACACATTGGTGTAAGCACACGTGGCAGATTTGGCCACACATTAATGATTCCATCTCTGTTTCTAATACAACAAAGAGACCCAGCTGCCAGGTATGGAAAATCGGAAGCATAAACAATGCTGAAGGCCAGGACAGTTTCCAGGTGTTTACGTGTGCCTGGAATGTATGATGACCAAATTCATGCGGCATGCAGTCTTAAGCAATGTTGCCATAAACTGGCTATAAAATAGTGAACCAGAGCTATTGGGCACGGGCCCAGACAGCCCCTGACTCAGCTCAAAGGCATTGTTAAGCTGGCACAGACTCACACAGCCGGGATGGGCCATTAAGGGCTATAATAGACTGAACCCCACAACAAGGAGGTGATATGCTTAGTGTCGGCTGGCTCTGCAATACTTTCAAAATGTGTGTTTTTATGTTGTTACACAACTACAGTTTCATCTGCTGAAGTAAAACAGGTGAATCCCTCCATCACACTGAAGTAACACTTGAGGAAATAGATAACATTTAAAGCCATGTTAGATTACCATCCAAAACATACTTTGTATTGCAAAAACATGTACTTCATTAAGAATTTCATTCAAATGTAAATGTTTAGTTTGACTTTTTGGGAATGTTTACCAAAGTGTTAGATGAGAGGATATTCTCTTACTTGTTAGTGGGACAATCCCCACAGGAGCAATTTGGGGTGAAGTATCTTGCCCAGGGACACAACGACATGCTGACTGCAGTGGGGTTTGAACCTGTGACCTCCTGATCCGAACACCTACGCACAACCAACTGCACCACACGCCCCCATATACGTATCACTCACATGTATGCTAAACATCAAGCTACAGCATCAGGCAGTTAGCTAAGCCTAGAAAGCATTTTAAGTATCGTAAACAGTTTCTTGACTAACAAAACAAACACTTACTGTGACCCAAATATGATCCTTAACTAAACATTATCAAGCAGTCTTTTCACCTGAACACAATTAAGTAGTTATGTTTCAATACACAAAGTTAACAACGGGTTTAAAACTGTAACAAAACACGTTTCCCTCTAAACTAAATTAGCACGGCTTTTGTTTCTAGAACATAATTTTAGAAGGCTGTTCTTTGTAATTGTTAGCAATGATTGCACCTCTGAAAACGTTATTATCTGCCCATCAGGTGTTTATTAAAAGGTGATAGATATAACATCCTGATTATACAGATTTACGGGAAAAAGGGCGCCTGCTCCTCTCACAGTGAATATATAAGATTCAGGTTGTGAATAAGAAGTCAATGCATAAAAACCCCAGCTTTTTAAGATAAAAAGTGTTTTGACAATTAAAGTTCAAAGAGGAAAATGCCTTGGCAGTCATCCTGTGAACACATCGACCTAATTAAACGTTTTGATCCAGTATTATCACTGCTTTGGTAAATATGTGAGTGGTTGGAGAGGTACCGTCTGTACCTAATGTTAACAAAGCCAGGAAGACAAACTAAGAGAGCTTTGGCGACTGTCAAATATTCTATATATATATTTCTTTATTTTTGCCTTGATCAGAACTCAACTTCACACACATTGAAATTCAGGGAGCCCTTTGAACAATATTTCTCCACATCAGAAATGAGTTTGAAAGCTTCTCAAGACTGAAGGAATGTTAATTAATTAAAAAGATATTTTCCAGCAGTGTTTGTACAGCTCTTGCTCTTGTCATTCCTGTATGAATGTGATTACTTTAATGTTTGTTCTCTTATTTGCTGCATGAGCTTGTGGATATTAGCATAACAGCCTTATCTTGAATAAGCCAGTGTTACATTTATTAATGAATCTGAGGAATTTATCTCTTTCAATTAAACGCTCAGATTAAGAAAGCTGAGCACAGCAAATGTTTTGTTTTTTTAATCTTTGGGCATTTGGGTTTCCCTTAGCTTTCTGATTCTTGTCAAATGTTCTGATGAACAGCAAATTCATCAAATTAACATTCACACAAACGCACATTGGTTGACAGGAAGCATTGCGTAAATGTAGAAATGGATCCCTAAATGTGTATATTGTGGTGATTGACATTATTCACCCACGGAACTATGGGTTGGGGTATTGTTCCGCACGGACATAGTGAGTTGACCGGACCCTTGTTTCCCCCGGTCTGTTCTTCCCGGGCTGAAAGCTGTTTTACATGTTGACCTGATGTTAAATAAAAGTCTAGCTTGTACCTTCGATACCCCGCCTCCGACTCCCGTCTCTCGGCACTACATTGGTGACCCCGACATAAGTCTCGTAGAAGGATCCGAGACTGAACCGAGCATGGCAAATAACGCCGTTTTTTTCAAACTGCCGGAGTTTTGGGATACATCTGCGGCTGCATGGTTCGCACAGCGCGGAGCCTCGCAGTTCGCTCCTCCGCCGGGCAGTAAACTGCATGCACGCATCAACGCTATTCCACGTCGTTTCGGCGACTGGAAGCTTCCACT